AACTAGTTAGATTCTTTTTTTTTTAAAGTAATAGGTTTCTTTTTCAAACAATAAGACGAACCCTGAGTTTTCTCCTTCTCATAACTTCCAGTTTTACTTCAGGATCTACTTTTGACTAGTATTTTTTAAAGTTTTCCTAGTTGCTAAGCTACCGTATTTTTTCTCTTGCCATTTCATGACCACCTTTCTTGACTACTTATAATTTACTTTCCTTCCTTTTTACATTTTCTTAAACCACTTTGAATGTAGATTATAGTAACCAAAAAAGGACCTAAGGTATATGGACACTTAACAGAGTTATTGCGGTGAACTGTTAAAGAGTAAGTGTAAAAAATTAAATTTACTCTCATATTTTGGATAGAATCTCTGCTGATAATGGGAATTAAATAGTGAAATTGTAAATTCAAATAGATAAGATCTTAGCCAACAATACACAACAGCTGCAACATCATTTACGGAAGTTACCCAGAAGTTCAGCAAACTTCTGCGAAGTTCACCCAGATCGTCTTCGTATGTCTCCGCGCTATACAGTGGCATTGTGCCAAAGCCACTGGGGTTTATCAGCGATAAACTCCCAAATATTTTGACACCGAATTGGAGATGAATTTCTCTATACATATATTTATTTATTTATATAATCTTCAGGGGCGAAGCGTCGTCTTCAGTGACAGGAAATGACACATCAGGATTCATATCACTTGGTTCAGCAAACATTCAATGTGTCGATGAATCACATCGTGCAGCAGTTTTCCAAAAAGCCAGAATGCTTTCGTTATCAAGTCGTAAATGCCCCCACAGACACCATGATTTCAGCTCTTTGCCGTATGTTCTTTAATGCTTTCTTTTGACGTATTATATTTTGCTTTATTCTTATGCTTTTAAAACAACTGTACGCTTTTACTGATGAGTTTTTTAGAAGAGGCAGGAGTGATAATAAGCCTTTATTAACAATAAGTTACATAGGGAAAGGCCGAGTGCCGGTAGTGGCTCATGTTCCTGGATCGTCCATTACTTTTCGAGAGTTTCGGAAGTCTTTAGGAATATCATCACGAAGCAACATGCAGTAAGATTGTTTTTTGAACACCTTAGCAGGCTAACTTCGATTTTTTTGTTTTGTTTGATCGTCGTTTTTTGAAGCATGCGAGTTTAGTTCCGTTCGAAGCTTTTTTATATGACTAACAAATAGTTCACTTACAGTTTAAGTTCTGTGTTCAAAAATTATTGTGTCATTGACTTGTAGACTTTTCCTTCTTAAGTAGGCGGGGTTTTCAAAGGGCTTGTGTAACTCACATTAACGGAGTTGAAAAGAGTAAGGTTAGTGAGCGTTTCAGATTTTTTTCTATTGCCATCATAAGCATTCGGAATAATTAGAAAAACTCTTAGGAAGAAGGCTGTTGGGTTGTTTAGCTATCTGTTTAGATTGACTTGGACCGGGTACCAATATTTCCGAATCTGCTAAATTTAAGAACTAGTGTCGTCATTGACTGTGATGTACCTATTATAGTTACAGATTCTTCTTCAAGTGCGCGTGTGAGGATGGTTCAGCTCCATATCAGCTGTTGCTTGTCAATGATGATTCGGCAGTTCTACCAATCTATGATGGTAAAGTGACTGCAGAATGTAAAACTCTCTCAGATTCTGATTGATTACTGTATTATAAATATACCGGGTAATCTGCTCATAGTGCTCTTAGATGAATCGTAGTCAAAAAGGATAAATGATTATATAGAAGATTAATTAGCTTTAGGCAGATTTTTTGGGGGTGTAACATAAAATAAACAGAAAGCATGTCTACGCTTCAGCTATTAAAGGTTTTAAAATAGTAATTATGGAGTAAGGCAATTAAACGAGTTGTAGAAGTTACGGATATTATTATTCCGGTAATTTTTTTTTAATTCGTGCGTGTATTACCCACCAACTGCATAGTGATTTTTCTGACTGGGTGCTAGGGGGTCGCGCTCCCTAGCTATGCTTTGCAGTTACTTTATCAAGTGGAATCAAAAAAAAAAAGAAAAACATAATAAAAAGTGAAGCATTTGGAAACTGAACGAAATGCAAAATCATTCCTCCAGTTAATTTTATTAAATTTTGGCAGAATTCAGAACTACATCCCTGGTGTTGATTACTAGTGTCCGTGATATGAGGATCTTTCATTCATGTATTATTAATGCAATTTTTTTGCTCTTTATTTAAGAGGCTTTTATCCTCTCCCTCCGACTCCTGTTACTGATGAATGCTTACAAGCGTACCCGCAAACTGCACGAGCTCTATTCAGATCACATAGGAGTTTTAAGAATGTAGAGCTTACGTTCACATCTAGGTTCAGTCTACAGGAACAACGTTTTTTATTTTAGTCTGTCGGTGCGTACTTTTGTTGCGCTGTTCTCACCTCTTTTTTCATAGGTCAGCAGGTCAAAAAACAGAATTGCTGAGAAGTATTTAACGGAAGAACACGGCTTGGAATGAGTATAATAAACAATGTTTTCTAACTTACATTTTTGAACATTTCCGGCTTGCATTTCTCATGTTCCGACCTGCCGAATTAATTGCTATTTCTATAGCACATAGCATGTGTTTACTTTTGGCGCTTACGAAGCGGCTATTTTTTGGCGGGACGCATAGCAGGTGTCCCACGCGTTTCTCGAAGTTTTTTGGAAAGTCCTTTTCAGAGTTGCTCATTTGAACTTGCGGAGTGGGGAGGAGTAAAGTCTATGTTAATTGTGGTTATGTATGGTGACTGTAATAGTGTTCAGTTTAGGTTGTTTTTACGGCTTCACGCGCTTTCAATTGTCAAGCTTCCATGATTTACGAGTAGCAGATTGTTTGTTCTTCCGTTTTGTAACAAGTTTTCACAGGGAAGACTTGAAATTTTGTGATAGTACTACATTTAATATGATAAAGGTGTTGAAGGAGGAGTCCAACATTTCTCTACAAAATATTTTACTTTAACGGTGAGCTTCTTGTGAATGGATATGCGCAGCGGGTAAGGATAAGCTGAGTTCGTTTGGAGTGGGATGGGAGATCAGTATTTGTCGTTATTCGTAGAGAACTTTGTCATCTAGTCCTCCACCTTGTGGTCTCGCCAGGACCCTAGTTGCAAGATATCTCTTCGTTGGAAGGGCTTATGTCTCGCGTACCCCTGAGTAAGGGCATAACTGACCTGCTCAAAATGTGCCCAAAAAGCACGATAAGAGATTTCATTCAGATGAAGGAGCAATGGTAGGTGGATAGAAACAGCTTTATTTTGCAGCAGCAATAAAAGACAAAGACAGCAGGAATTAGTTATGAGTGGAGGGTGGCGGATACTATTAGTAAGCAGTGCGACAAAACATGGTCAGAGAGCAGAGCGCAAAACACGCAACAAACTTTTACACCCTAAACATCTTTAAAAGCTTGTCGATGGAGAGCACAGA